TATTATTAGCAATGTTCTTCCGACGACTGATTTCTTTTTAAAAAATGTGTTTCTAAAGTGCATAAATTTTTGGGATTGACTGTACAGCCAATACATCATTAGGTTCAGGCTCAAAGAAACAGATTCTTGAAAATCATATTGAAATTCAAAATTTTCGGGTCCCGAATGTTTCGAAGATCAAATAGTATTTTTTGCTTAAAACTTTTCACGTCACCGAGCAGAACATCGTAATCAGCGATGAATTATTCTTCAGATGACAATGCGTATCCTGTTGTCACGATTTTTAAGTGACTCGAATTGAAATGTTAACAAGAAAGAATTATATCACAGTCGAAACGTAGGATCGTTGAACGGTTATATAATAATCCTTATCTCCCAGAAACTATTTTGTATGCTTAAGCAATTTCATTCTGAGCCATTGATCGGTATAATCAGTCCCAATCGTAAACTCATCTATTTGCCGTAACAGATCTACTGTGGATTCGTTGCACCCATATTTATTGAGCAAATATCACGAGCAGAACGCTCGTCGAAACTGAGATGCAGCGAAACGCAGGGAACGCTCGATCGAGCTGTATGACCGCAAGACGATCAGACGAAATTAGTCACGCTGCGTTCCTCACAATACGTTCCTTCGCCACGTTTCGATGAATAGACTTTGTCTGGCTTGCGACCGACGAAAGAGAAAACAGTGAGGGCAGCGGTATTAATGCTTTGAGTAGGGAATCATTAGCATCGATTGTCCTTTCTATAACGCGCGTTTGCTGCCGGGCATTATGTGAGGGTTCACACTTCTGAGTGTCGTTTACGGATCATTTTCGCCGATGCACATGCATCGTCGAGGCATATACGACATCATCTCTTCCAGGATCGTTGGCAGCTCTTCATTCAGCTCGATCAAACGATGCCCTTGGTTCATTTTTCGTGTAATCGGTGAACGCGCATAAGTCGTTCTACAAAAATTTTATCGCATCGTATTCACGCTACGTTATAACACCTGAAGATATAATAATTCTAATGTTCTAAATTGTTTTTAATTGACAACGCCGATTATACGTTAACACGATAACAGCTTTAGTTTTCAGTATAATTACACGACATGATGTTGCACTATGCAAGGGATTTATCTAATCTGCTAAACGTCCCAAGTTTCGCCGGGCTGTTTTTGCGCTCTTTTTGATAATTGCTGTTGAAGACTCAGCTCCTTGATCAATATAACATTACACAATAATTTGATAAATGATTCTCTTTTCCTAATGGATACCAATTAAAAAAGTGCTCACTGTTAGACAGACAATACTAGCGATACTATCGTTCCTCGACGATCTATCATGTTCGTATGAATTTACATAAGAAATAGATGTAATTTATGCGGTGCATAAAGGACGTAAATATTACTGTTTCAGGGCTTCCAGCCAGAGGACTATAGAGTTCACGATAAATGGACAACCTTACACCGGTGTGTAATTAAATATCGACCATCTAAGATTGATCGCCGCTAACGATCTGATCGTTTTTAGTGACGGAAGATGTTCCGCCTAGGACGCCTCTCAACACTTTCATACGGGAGTATGCGAAACTGCCGGGAACCAAGGCGATGTGCTTGGAGGGCGGATGCGGTGCTTGCATCGTGTCCGCCGAGGTCACAGGCAAGACAATGTCCGTAAATTCTTGCCTCGTCCCGATCCTGATTTGCAACGGGTGAGTTCTAACGTATCGTTTCACGATCCAAAGGAAATCTATTTCATTTTCTGTGCAATCCACAGTTGGGCGATTACCACGATCGAAGGATTGGGTAACAAGAAGGACGGATACCACACTCTGCAAGCGGCGCTCGCTGGGAAGAACGGTTCCCAGTGCGGCTATTGTTCGCCGGGTATGGTAATGAACATGTACAGGTACGTACTTAGTCACCATTCCTCGCAACTTTTTACTGCTACTACGTTGAGTACTTGTCACGTTTTGCAGTCTCATTCACGATAAAAACCAGACTATGAAGGAAATAGAAAATTCGTTCGGTAGCAACATATGTCGTTGCACCGGTTACAGACCGATTCTGGAAGCGTTTAAAGCTTACGCCATCGATGCTCCGAAGAATCTCGTTCAAGACATTCATGATATCGAGGTGATCAGAAGATTAATAATTAACACAATCATTAATTCGAGTGCCTCTCGAAGCCTGATCCAGCGATTAATTTTCAAGCATTTTATCAGACACTCGTTATCTTATTCAATCGGATTCTAGTTTAATTTTCCGTTGTAGGAATTGTTCGATGTAAAAACTTGTAAAAGAATCGGTCAGATCTGCCGAAAGAATTGTCACGCGTCCGAGGAGACAGCCGAGTGCGACATCGAGATGTGCGTGGGCAGTTCTCAATTTCGCAAAGTTCGATCGGTACAAGAAGTGTTCACCGTATTCCAAAACAATCCCACCGCGAGTTACATCATACACGGTGGCAATACCGCTCAAGGTAATAATTAATTTGTCGCGTCTTTGACGACACATTTACGTTATACAAATCTCTTCACGTAGGCGTATATCGATTGGAATATACACCAGACATTTCGATCGACGTAAACGATGTACCGGATCTACACAAGGTTGACAAGGACGACGACTCTTTGACGCTCGGTGCCAACTGTTCCCTTAACGTGGCCATGAACACTTTTGAGAAATATTCGAAGGATAAAAATTTCGAGTACTTGCAGCATCTCGCTAAACACATCGATCTAATCGCCGGTGTTCCCGTGAGGAACGTGAGTAACCGTGAGCAATCAGGCTGAGCAGTTATAAATCGTCGGAATTTTCAGATCGGGTCAATGGCCGGGAACTTGATGACCAAATACGCGCATCACGAATTTCCATCCGATCTCTTTCTGATACTAGAAACCGCCGGGGCCCAGCTGCACATAGGTAAATGTCTCGAATGTTTGACTCGTTGCAAAGATAGATATAGATTTCATTTCTTAATTAGTGGAAGCTAGTGGTAACAAGTCATCCATGAACTTCTTCGAGTTCCTCAACTTCGACATGAAGCACAAGCTTCTATACAGCGTGGTGCTACCGGCGCTTAGCAAGGAATACGAGTACAGGTCTTACAAGGTACTTAATTCAGTGGAACTCCTTTTCGTCGTTTATTACAGAAAACTTGTCCTAGGTAATGCCAAGAGCTCAAAACGCTCACGCTCACGTAAACGCTGGATTCTTCTTTAAACTGGACGGGACAGGAAAAGTTCTGCAGAAGCCGAACATCATAATGGGCGGAATAAACAAAGACTTTGTGAGTATAACTGTTGGAGAAAATGAAAGAGTGGACTAACTACAGATTTGTCATTCCAGCTGCACGCGTCGAACACTGAAGAATTTCTAGTGGGAAAATCTATCTACGATAAGGACGTTATCAGAGAAGCGTTGAACAAGCTGGACGCGGAACTCCGTCCTGACCATGTCCTACCCGATTATTCACCGGAGTTTAGGAAGCTTCTCGCGGAGGGACTCTTCTACAAGTTTATTCTGAGCGTGAAACCGGAGAACACGAACGAAAGACAGCGCAGCGGTGCAACAATTTTGGAACGTGGCTTGTCCTGGGGGAAACATGAGTTCCAAACAGATAAGAGTCTGTGGCCTGTGACCGAGCCTTTACCAAAGATAGAATCTATACATCAGACTTCCGGCGAGGCGCAATATGTAAACGACTTACCACCGATAGATCGCGAAGTTTACTGCGCTTTTGTTCTAACTACGGTAGCCAATGGAAAAGTGGAGAATATCGACACTTCCGAGGCAATGGTACGACTTTCGCTGATCATTTAATTGAGCATGTTTCAACGTCGATGCATCGTTTTAGAAAATGGACGGCGTGATAGCGTTTTACACGGCGAAAGATATTCCCGGACAAAACCTGTTTATACCTCAATCCGCCAAGCTACCATTCGTGCCCAACGACGAAGTGGTAAGTTAGAAATGTAATGTTAAGAAGATCGAGCTAATACGTGCCTCGCTTTCGTAGCTGTTCGTGGATAAGGAGATCGAATACGCCGGGCAACCCATCGGAGTGATCGCCGCCACAACTTTTGATCTTGCCAACAGAGCAGCGAGCAAAGTACGCGTTACCTACTCCGATTTCGTGCCCAAGAAAATGCTTCTCTCGATCGAGGACGTGATCGCTTCGAAAGATGAATCCAGACTTTTACGGTCAGCCGACGAGCCCGCGAAAACTAAAGGTATACACGTAAATCCGACTTTGTTCGCAAGTGTATCGATCGTTTTCATTTGTTTCTCATAGGCAACGATGTGAAACACGTCGTAGAAGGGGTGTTCAGGTGCGGCGGTCAATATCATTTTACTATGGAGACTCAGTGTTGCGTTTGCATACCGGTAGAAGATGGGATCGACGTATATTCGGCGACACAATGGATCGATCTCATGCAAATATCTATAGCCAACTGCCTTAATGTAAAAAACAATAGGTATTCTATCAAGTAGAACTTGATGTCGACTTGGTTCATCTTTGTTAATAAAAATGCAGCCTCAACATTGTCGTGAGGAGACTCGGCGGTGGCTATGGTGCTAAAATGACGCGTGCGGCGCAGATCGCCGCTGCTTGCGCACTGGTTTCTCATCTCCTGAATCGGCCAGCTAGATTCGTCATGACGATCGAAGCTAACATGTCGTCGATTGGAAAGCGACGCGACACTCGTCAGGAGTACAAGATCGGCGTGAACGACGACGGACGCATTCAGTACTTGAATTCGACATACTGGGGCAACGGTGGCTCCAGTTTTAACGAAATGCAAGGTCCAACCGTGATAAACGCCATGCAGAAGTGAGTAGAAATTGAATTGCACATCGGAGAAGCGAAGTTAATTCGAAACTGGAAATCTTTAGTTGCTATGATTCGTCGACTTGGTCCCGTCTTGGCTACGAAGTCAAAACTGATTTGCCTTCCAACACTTATTGCCGAGCTCCAGGTATTTCACTGTAAATAAACTGGATGTCTTCGACTTTTTTATCGTTCTCGTGTCGCAGGAACTACGGAGGGCTGCGCTATAGCGGAAAATATGATGGAACACATAGCGAAAGTTGTGGGAAAGGATCCTTTGCAAGTCAGATACGCTAATATGCTCGACGAACATAAACAAGTGTTGCAGCCCATGATGGAAGACTTGATGAAATACGCGGATTACGACACGAGGAAGAGAGCTGTGGAAACGTTTAACAATGTAATCACAATCGAGATACGCGTTGCACCTTCGATTCAGACAGAAATTTGAGTATTCTATCGTCACTAGGAAAATCGATGGAAGAAGAAGGGAATATCCTTGATGTTCATGCAATATCCATTGGTGCGTGTCACATCATTCTATGCGCATGTCTCGGTCTATGCTCGCGACGGCACGGTGTCCGTCACTCACGGAGGAATCGAATGTGGCCAAGGAATCAATACGAAAGTAGCTCAAATAGCAGCGCACACGTTGGGCATCGATTTATCGTTGGTCACCGTTAAACCGACCAACAATCTAACTGCCCCAAATAATTCTGACAGTGGTGGCAGCGTGACGAGCGAAAGTTGTGCATATGTAAGACACAATTCGTATCTCACAAGGCAGGATTTAAGAAATATATACAAGCATCTATTTTAATATACTAGGCGACCCTGCAAGCTTGCAAAGTGTTGTTGGAAAGACTAGAGCCGATCAGGCAACAACTGGGAGGAAATCCTTCGTGGCGGGAACTGCTGATGACCGCTTACGATAAATATGTTGATCTCTGCGCGCGTTGGATGTACGTGATTCAATGACGGACTTCCTGATTTAAGCACAAAAGTTAAATATATTCGTGCACAGGTATACGCCGAACGATAAAAGCTTCAAGACGTATTCGATATACGGTGTAGCTATAACCGAGGTCCAAATAGATGTGCTGACTGGACAACACGTTGTCGAGAGAGTGGATATATTGGAGGATTGCGGCAGGAGCATAAATCCGGACGTGGACTTGGGACAAGTGGAAGGATCTTTCATAATGGGGATGGGTTTCTGGACTATCGAAGACCTGATTTACGACCCGTCGACTGGCCAATTGACCAACAATAGGACATGGGTCGGTATTCTTTAATTTCGTACGTAACGGAATTCGCGTGACAACGATATGTTTGCAGAATTATAAACCACCCGGTGCCAAGGATATCCCAGTCGATTTCCGCGTTTACTTCCGTCAGAATGCTCCTAACAACGCCACCGTTCTTCGCTCGAAAGGTAAACTGAATATTTGATAAAGCGAGTGACTCTTGTACAAAATTTGATTGAACATTCTAGCCACCGGAGAACCACCATTATGTTTGAGTTACACGGTACCGATCGCAATTCGTTATGCGCTCGATTCAGCGAGAAAAGATGCAGGAAACAATGATCCTTGGTATCAATTAGGTAAGTACATAGAAATGCGTTTTACAAAGTACATAATTTTAATCGCGGATTGTTTTATACCTCTCAGATGCCCCTCTTACCACGGAGAAAATCCTGTTGAGCAGTTTGACCAGCAAGGAGCAAATGGTGTATTGAAGTGCATTTCTAACGCGAGGCATAATATGAAAGAAAGAGAACGAGAGCTTGCGAGAGAGAGAGAGAGAGAGAGAGAGAGAGAGAGAGAGAGAGAGAGAGAGAGATTGAGGTAGCAAACTAGACATTTTTCTGAATCACCCGATGAGAGTATTCTGTAGTATGCCATATATTATATAAATCTCGTTTATTCCGTTGTAACTTCTGTCGGAACGCGTCCCTCTTTAAGCGTAATAGGTATATAGTCACGTTCGCACGTGGGCGAAAACGAATATGCAAAACGGAAGATGTACACCTGAGCAAACAAATAATATTAGTTGAGACGCTATTATTTACGATTTATTTGTATTAATTAATTGTCACTGAATATCATTACGCTCTACGAATGCGTTATAAACGATTATTATGTAACACATGAATAGCGTTTTATAGAGTATTTAGTGAAATTACAGGATGTATCTGGCCTTCCTTGAAAGCACATAAACGAACCGTGGTTTGAAAATACTGTCATTATCCATCTCACACATCAATTATATATGTATACGTATCTACTTTCCATGTAAGCCACCAGTGAAGACTGTAACAATGATGAATAATTGATGTTATTGAAGGTATAAGTATAATGAACGAAGATTGACGATGACAGAGGATTCAGTGATAGATAGGCACCATATGCGCACCAACTTTGATGCAGGTGGTGGGGAGCGTGATATTGAGAGGACGATACTGGCCAGCTTTCAAATGAGTAACAACTGTAACTTCGTATCAAGTGGTCCGCTACGTACGTTCTATCGCGCTTCTTCTCGAACACACTCGATTCCTCGGTTTAATTAATTAAATACGAAACATGGAATGTGTCCAAAAGATGCAACACCGCGTCGAGTAAGTCATTTCGAATTCTCATTGTATGTCATTGCCGAACTTCTTTTGAGCGAGAAGAATTCCGCGACGCATCCGTCGTGCGTATTTAGTTTCGTAGAAAAATCTTTTCAGGCGAAACCTCGTTTCTTTCGTTCACTTTTCTAGAAGTATTTTTCTAACCGAGAAGGTAGATAGTTCATCACCCGAGTTCAGAAAAGAGAAAGTCGAATAAACCGTTTCGGTGGGAAGTGTGGGAACGAGGTGAACAGCGAATCCAATACGTCTTCCACGGCAGTGAAAGCCGATCCTCGTGAGCCGCCGGTCGATCATGCTTTTTGTTCAGGCTCAAAGAAACAGGTTCTTGAAAATCATAATGAGATTCAAAAACATGTTCAATTTTACCTTGAGTCACGAATGTTTCGGCGATTAAATGTATTTTTCATTCAAAACTTGCCCACGTCACCGAGCAGTACGTCATAACTGGCGATGAATTATTCTTCAAATGATAATGCGTATCCTATTGTCATAATTTTTAAGTGACTCGAGTTGAAACGTTAACAAGACATTCGTATCACGGCCGAAATGTAGGATCGTTGTACGGTTGTATAATAATCCTTATCTCCCGGAAGCTATTTTGTATGCTTAAGCAATTTCATTCTGAGCCAGTGATCGGTATAATCAGTCCCAATCGTAAACTCATCTATTTGCCGTAACAGATCTACTATGGATTCGTTGCACCCATGTTTATAAAGCAAATATCACGAGTAGAACGCTCGTCGAAACTGAGATGCAGTGAAATGCAGGGAACGCTCGATCGAGCTGTATGACCGCAAGACGATCAGACGAAATTAGTCACGCTGCGTTCCTCACAATACGTTCCTTCGCCACGTTTCGATGAATAGACTTTGTCTGGCTTTCGACCGACGAAAGAGAAAACATTGAAGGCAACGGTGTCAATACTTTGGGTAGGAAATTAGCATTAATTATCCTGTCTATAACGCACGGTCGCTGCCGAGCGTTATATAAGAGTTCACGCTCCCGAGTGTCGGTTACCGGTCATTTTCGCCGATGCACATACATCGCCAAAGTATATACGACATCATCTCTTTCACGATTGTTCGCAGCTCTTCATTCAGCTCGATCAAGCGATGCGATATCCTCGGTTCATCTTTCGTGTAATTGGGGAAAGCGCACAAGTCATTCTATTAAAACTTTATCGCACCGTATTCACCCTACGACCTCGTCAATAATGACTAAGACCAATTCGAAGGTTCTAAATTGTTTGTAACTGACAGCGCAGATTTTTATACGATAACGCGATGCTAGTGATAGCTTTAGTTTTCAACAAAATTACATGGCGTGATGTTTCATTATGCATATCTGAAAACGAATTTATCTTATCTGCTAAGCGTACCAAGTTTACCCCGGCTGTTTCTGCGGTCAGTCATTTTAATAATTACTCGTAAAGACTCAGCTGCTTGATCAATATATCATTATGCAAATACTTGATAAACGATTCTTTCTTCCGGGTTGGTCAGAATTAGAAAATTCTTCACTGTTAGACAGACAATACTACCGATACCATCGTTCCTCGACGATCTATCATGTTCGTATGAATTTACGTAAGAAATAGATGTAATTTATGCGGTGCATAAAGGACGTAAATATTACTGTTTCAGGGCTTCCAGCCAGAGGACTATAGAGTTCACGATAAATGGACAACCTTACACCGGTGTGTAATTAAATATCGACCATCTAAGATTGATCGCCGCTAACGATCTGATCGTTTTTAGTGACGGAAGATGTTCCGCCTAGGACGCCTCTCAACACTTTCATACGGGAGTATGCGAAACTGCCGGGAACCAAGGCGATGTGCTTAGAGGGCGGCTGCGGTGCTTGCATCGTGTCCGCCGAGGTCACAGGCAAGACAATGTCCGTAAATTCTTGCCTCGTCCCGATCCTGATTTGCAACGGGTGAGTTCTAACGTATCGTTTCACGATCCAAAGGAAAACTATTTCATTTTCTGTGCAATCTACAGTTGGGCGATTACCACGATCGAAGGATTGGGTAACAAGAAGGACGGATACCACACTCTGCAAGCGGCGCTCGCTGGGAAGAATGGTTCCCAGTGCGGCTATTGTTCACCGGGAATGGTAATGAACATGTACAGGTACGTATTTAGCCAACTTTCCTTGCAACAATTTACTGCTGTTACATTGAGTACTTGTCACGTTTTGCAGTCTCATTCACGATAAAAACCAGACTATGAAGGAAATAGAAAATTCGTTCGGTAGCAACATATGTCGTTGCACCGGTTACAGACCGATTCTAGAAGCGTTCAAATCTTTCGCCACCGATGCGCCGAAGAATCTAGTTCAAGACATTTACGATATCGAGGTGATCAGAAGATTAATAATTAACGCAACGATTAATTCGAATGCCTCTCGAAACCTGATACAGCGATTAAATTTCAAGCATTTTATCAGACACTCGTTATCTTATTCGATCGGATTCTAGTTTAATTTTCCGTTGTAGGAATTGTTCGATATAAAAACTTGTAAAAGAACCGGTCAGATCTGCCGAAAGAATTGTCACGCGTCCGAGGAGACCGCCGAGTGCGACATCGAGATGTGCGTGGGCAGTTCTCAATTTCGCAAAGTTCGATCGGTGCAAGACGTGTTCACCGTATTCCAAAACAATCCCACCGCGAGTTACATCATTCACGGTGGCAATACCGCTCAAGGTAATAATTAATTTGTCGTGGCTTTGACGATACATTTACGTTATGCAAATCTCTTCACGTAGGCGTGTATCGATTGGAATATACACCAGACATTTCGATCGACGTAAACGATGTACCGGATCTACGCAGAATAGACAAGCAGAACGACACTTTGACGCTCGGTGCCAATTGTTCCCTCACCGTAGCTATGAATACTTTTGAGAAATATTCGAATGATAAAAATTTCGAGTATTTGCAGTATCTCGCTAAACACATCGATCTAATCGCCAGTGTTCCCGTGAGGAACGTGAGTAACCGTGAACAATCAGGCTGAACAGTTATAAATCGTCGGAATTTTCAGATCGGTTCGATGGCCGGGAACTTGATGACTAAACACGCGCGTCGCGAATTTCCATCCGATCTGTATCTGATACTAGAAACCGCCGGGGCTCAGCTGCACATAGGTAAATGCCTCGAAATGCTTAACTCGTTGCGAAGATAGATATAGATTTCATTTCTTAAATAGTGGAAGCTAGTGGTAAGAAGTCGTCCATGGACTTGTTGGAGTTCCTCAACTTCGACATGAAGCACAAGCTTCTATACAGCGTGGTGCTACCGGCGCTTGGCAAGGAATACGAGTACAGGTCTTACAAGGTACCTAATTCAGTGAAACTCCTTCCGTCGTTCATTACTGACACTATGTCGTAGATAATGCCACGAGCTCAAAATGCTCACGCTCATGTAAACGCTGGATTCCTGTTTAAACTGGATGGGACAGGGAAAGTTCTGCAGAAGCCGAACATCATAATGGGCGGAATAAACAAAGACTTTGTGAGTATAACTGTTGGAGAAAATGAAAGAGTGGACTAACTACAGATTTGTCATTCCAGCTGCACGCGTCGAACACTGAAGAATTTCTAGTGGGAAAATCTATCTACGATAAGGACGTTATCAGAGAAGCGTTGAACAAGCTGGACGCGGAACTCCGTCCTGACCATGTCCTACCCGATTATTCACCGGAGTTTAGGAAGCTTCTCGCGGAGGGACTCTTCTACAAGTTTATTCTGAGCGTGAAACCAGAGAACACGAACGAAAGACAGCGCAGCGGTGCAACAATTTTGGAACGTGGCTTGTCTTCGGGGAAACATGAGTTCCAAACAGATAAGAGTCTGTGGCCTGTGACCGAGCCTTTACCAAAGATAGAATCTATACATCAGACTTCCGGCGAGGCGCAATATGTGAACGACTTACCACCGATCGCTCACGAAGTCCACTGCGCTTTCGTTCTAACTACGGTAGCCAATGGAAAAGTGGAGAATATCGACACTTCCGAGGCAATGGTACGACTTTCGTTGATTATTTAATTGAGCATGTTTCAACGTCGATGCATCGTTTCAGAAAATGGACGGCGTGATAGCGTTCTATACGGCCAAAGATATTCCCGGTCAAAACGCGTTTATATATAAGTCCGCCCAGCAAATAGGCCTGTTGTACGACGAAGTGGTAAGTTGCAAATGTAATGTTAATAAGATCTAGCTAATTCGTTCGTCGCTTTCATAGCTGTTCGTGGATAAGGAGATCGAATACGCCGGGCAGCCCATCGGAGTGATCGTCGCCACGAGTTTTACTCTTGCAAACAAGGCAGCGAGCAAAGTACGCGTTACCTACTCCGATTTCGTGCCCAAGAAAATGCTTCTCTCGATCGAGGACGTGATCGCTTCGAAAGATGAATCCAGACTTTTACGGTCAGCCGACGAGCCCGCGAAAACTAAAGGTATACACGTAAATCCGACTTTGTTCGCAAGTGTATCGATCGTTTTCATTTGTTTCTCATAGGCAACGATGTGAAACACGTGGTAGAAGGGGTGTTCAGATGCGGCGGTCAATATCATTTTACTATGGAGACTCAGTGTTGCGTTTGCATACCGGTAGAAGATGGGATGGACGTATATTCGGCGACACAATGGGTCGATCTCATCCAAACGTCCATAGCCAAGTGTCTCAATGTAAAAAACAATAGGTAAACTATCAAGTAGAGTTTGATGTCGATTCGATTCATGTTTGTTAATAAAATTGCAGCCTCAACATTGTCGTGAGGAGACTCGGCGGTGGCTATGGTGCTAAAATCTCGCGTGCGACGCAGATCACCGTCGCTTGCGCTCTGGTTTCTCATCTCCTGAATCGGCCGGCTAGATTCGTGATGACGATCGAGGCTAACATGTCGTCGATTGGAAAGCGATACGACACTCGTCAGGAGTACAAGATCGGCGTGAACGACGACGGACGCATTCAGTACTTGAATTCGACATACTGGGGCAACGGTGGCTCCAATTTTAACGAAATGCAAGGTCCAGCCGTGATAGAGGCCATGCAGAAGTGAGTAGAAATTGAATTGCACATCGGAGAAGCGAAGTTAATTCGAAACTGGAAATCTTTAGTTGCTATGATTCGTCGACTTGGACCCGTCTTGGCTACGAAGCCAAAACTGATTTGCCTTCCAACACTTATTGCCGAGCTCCAGGTATTTCACTGTAAATAAACTGGATGTCTTCGACTTTTTGATTGTTCTCGTATCGCAGGAACTACGGAGGGCTGCGCTATAGCGGAAAATATGATTGAACACATAGCGAAAGTTGTGGGAAAGGATCCTTTGCAAGTCAGATACGCTAATATGCTCGACGAACATAAACGAATGTTGCAGCCTATGACGGAAGACTTGATGAAATACGCGGATTACGACACGAGGAAGAGAGCTGTGGAAACGTTTAACAATGTAATCACAATCGAGATACGCGTTGCACCTTCGATTCAGACAGAAATTTGAGTATTCTATCGTCACTAGGAAAATCGATGGAAGAAGAAGGGAATATCCTTGATGACCATGCATTATGCTTTTGCTTATTTCGGAAAATTCCACGCGCTTGTCTCGCTGTATGCTCGCGACGGCACGGTGTCCGTCACTCACGGAGGAATCGAATGTGGCCAAGGAATCAATACGAAAGTAGCTCAAATAGCAGCGCACACATTGGGCATCGATTTATCGTTGGTCACCGTTAAACCGACCAACAATTTAACTGCCCCAAACAATATGGTCACTGGTGGCAGCGTGACGAGTGAAACTTGTGCATATGTAAGACACAATTCGTATCTCACAAGGCAGGATTTAAGAAATATGTATACAAGCGTCTATTTTAATATACTAGGCAACCCTGCAGGCTTGCAAAGAGTTGTTGAACAGATTAGAGCCGATCAAGCAACAACTGGGAGGGAATCCTTCGTGGCAGGAATTGCTGATGGCCGCTTACAATAAAAACGTTGATCTATGCGCGCAGTACATGTACGTGATTCGATGACGGAGTCCCTGGTTTAAGTAGAGAAGTTAAATATATTCGTGCACAGGTATTCGACGGATGATCAGGACCTCAAGGCGTATCCGATATACGGTGTGGCTATAACCGAGGTCCAAATAGATGTGCTGACTGGACAACACGTTGTCGAGAGAGTGGATATATTGGAGGATTGCGGCAGGAGCATGAATCCGGAGGTGGACTTGGGACAAGTGGAAGGATCTTTCGTAATGGGGATGGGTTACTGGACTACCGAAGATCTGATTTACGACCCGTCGACTGGCCAATTGACCAACAATAGAACATGGGTCGGTATTCTTTAATTTCGTACGTAACGGAATTCGCGTGACAACGATATGTTTGCAGAATTATAAACCACCCGGTGCCAAGGATATCCCAGTCGATTTCCGCGTTTATTTCCGACAGAATGCTCCTAACAACGCCACCGTTCTTCGCTCGAAAGGTAAACTGAATATTTGATAAAGCGAGTGACTCTTGTACAAAATTTGATTGAACATTCTAGCCACCGGAGAACCACCATTATGTTTGAGTTACACGGTACCGATCGCAATTCGTTATGCGCTCGATTCAGCGAGAAAAGATGCAGGAAACAATGATCCTTGGTATCAATTAGGTAAGTACATAGAAATTCGTTTTACAAAGTACATAATTTTAATCGCGGTTCGTTTTATACCTCTCAGATGCCCCTCTTACCACGGAGAAAATCCTGTTGAGCAGTTTGACCAGTAAGGAGCAAATGATATATTGAAGTTTCCTTTTATGATTCAAATAAAATAACCCCCATTGTTGATTGTTATTTAAAAACCGTTTGTGATGTTCTTATTACTAGTATTCTTACCAATACAATAATGAATCAATTCTTAAGAAATTAGGAGCTAGTGTATACCTTTTCGTATTTCTTCGATTCCCGTCCCCATTTAAGGATGTGTTTGTCACNCAACAATAGGACATGGGTCGGTATTCTTTAATTTCGTACGTAACGGAATTCGCGTGACAACGATATGTTTGCAGAATTATAAACCACCCGGTGCCAAGGATATCCCAGTCGATTTCCGCGTTTACTTCCGTCAGAATGCTCCTAACAACGCCACCGTTCTTCGCTCGAAAGGTAAACTGAATATTTGATAAAGCGAGTGACTCTTGTACAAAATTTGATTGAACATTCTAGCCACCGGAGAACCACCATTATGTTTGAGTTACACGGTACCGATCGCAATTCGTTATGCGCTCGATTCAGCGAGAAAAGATGCAGGAAACAATGATCCTTGGTATCAATTAGGTAAGTACATAGAAATTCGTTTTACAAAGTACATAATTTTAATCGCGGTTCGTTTTATACCTCTCAGATGCCCCTCTTACCACGGAGAAAATCCTGTTGAGCAGTTTGACCAGTAAGGAGCAAATGATATATTGAAGTTTCCTTTTATGATTCAAATAAAATAACCCCCATTGTTGATTGTTATTTAAAAACCGTTTGTGATGTTCTTATTACTAGTATTCTTACCAATACAATAATGAATCAATTCTTAAGAAATTAGGAGCTAGTGTATACCTTTTCGTATTTCTTCGATTCCCGTCCCCATTTAAGGATGTGTTTGTCACGATAAAATGCTGCGAAACACTGATTCCGTAATGAAATAAGGATTTGAATGAGGAATTGAACAACGAATTGTAACGGTCGTGGAAAAACAAAATGCCGCCCGTGACGTATGCAGTCTGATTGCGCAGTAGCCGAGTGCGCATCCCATTGGGCTTCAGTCCTCGCGCGTCTGTGCCTGTCGCGAGACGTAGTCGGTGTCACGTCCGCGTTCACGAGGACTTTGTGTGGACTCTCGACGAATAAACTGGTGCGTAGTTACGGTTATTTGTTCCTGACCTGTGGAAATACTGGAGGACGTTACGAAAGCACCAGCGGAGTGCATGTTGTGGCCATGGAAAGCGTCCTGGAACCTCATCGGTAAGCGACGCTACCTCGCCGACACGTACACGTCGAGATAGTTTTTACGTAATTATAACTCTTTTTTTCACGGGTTATCAAGCTATATCAGTTCGAGGTTTCTGTATTTCGAAATAAATCAATCATCGCTGACAGACACTGTGCAGATCGAGCGCGAACCTAACTTTTTCTCAACGTATCGTCGCATTCAAAATGGATGCTTTTGCCGGTTAAAATAGTGTTCGGCTGCGTATGCAATATTTACTCGTATCGAATGCCGCGAACTGTTATAGCGACCTTTGTCTCTTTCCATTGCCCCAAAGACGTTCACTTCGAACTGTCGTAGGCATTTACTTAATGTCTATAACTGCCAGAATGACAAATGCGTAGTTATGAACGGTTTCCCTGATTCTGCAATCTTATCTTATGTGCTAATACAGCCGGATGCGGCAATTAGAATGATCGCGTCTTGGATACCATCTCTGGATTGTTGTAAATCCATGAAAACGCGATTGATACAAGCCTCGTTCGACGAGAGTCGATAGAATTACGCGAGTTAGGGTGGTGTCGACGATCGAGAAACCGCATGGTCGTGTTTCGTTCGTAGGGTTTCGTTTTTTCTCGAACCATTCGTTCTTCGCGCCTTTATTCCCTGCGTACGTGACTAGTTCTAATCACCTCGCTCATCACGCACCTGGTCTTTGATCCGACGGTTACCGGGTTTCGCCAATGCTACGTTCGAAATTCGAAGCTTATCGCATACACCCGTGGATATTATTGACGGTACATGTCGTTGACCCGACGGAACAATTGAAGTACGATGTCACGTTTCAACGTGTACACGTAACTCTGCTCATGTTCAGTGGAAACGCGAATTAAAATCAGGATATTCCGTGAAGCCGGGAATACGTTCGAGGATCAAACGACTAGCTATCTTAATTCAAAGTCGCTTAATTGTTACCGGTACGTAGAGCAGCGCGTGCACTTACGGCTAGATGCCGCTATATGTATGTACGTCGGATGAATTTCGCGTACAACTCCGACGAGATCTTGCGACCGTTTTACCTGCCTTCGGGGAAACGAGTTATGTATTATACGGATTATGTCACGACTCGCGGCTCTCTATTGTCATTGGTCGCACGGCCAGGAGCAAAACGGTGCAAACCGGTTTGCTACATCGGCAGAAAAAAAAGCCGTTGTTCCTGTTTAACGAAAATTGGTACGAACGCAATTTGCGGCGTCAGCGTTTGACGTCAGTCGGTCGGCGATAAAGTAAAATTAATTGTATTAATTCCCCGCAATAAAATTAATCCCCACGCGCGTTGAAAGTAGCGAAGGAGCGAACGGTTTCGATGTACCACGGAGACACGCGTGTGACGTCAAATCGCATCGTTTCGATGGAAACCTGTTTGAACTGGAATCACGCGATAGCGTATCGCTACCATTTTTTTTACTAAATGTTACCCAGCTTCGTTCCTCGACCTGGAAGACTGTTTAATACGCTTTAGACAATCCGATTTTATTTTCAACTCGCCCAGGCATCACTTTGTAACGCGCATCGCCGATCGCGAAAAATTCATACGGGTGATGGTCGTTGCGATGCTCGGTACCATGTTTCATACGGTATTCGATATGATCACAGACGTGATAATAATTAATAGAGTATCAAGGATGGAAATGGGTCAACGCAAAGTCGCGTCCGGGTCGTCTTGACCTGTACGAGTCCGGTTCTCGGTGTTCGATTATCGCGGAATCAATTCGTCGACGACACGGTATCTACAATTTATTAAGCTAGAGTGCATAATCGCATTGGCCGGACGCGTTCCGGTCCGTGGCGACGGGAAGTATGGGAGGGGAATTTGGTAGAATTTTTCTTGGCAGTCGGTATTTTGAGGTTTTGGATGCTTCCTTGGACCTGCGCGTTACGCATTCTGCAGAGGCAATCAAAGATCACCCTTTTTTAATGCGGTGGATCGGCCGATTCCCTCCGAGGGACAGGAGACCTTAGAGTACGAATTCAGGATGACACATCGTTGTCCCGATTATCGTGGGGCGGAGGAGGATGGAGGGTCGATCGAAACCGAGAATCTTTCTAGATTCGGTAGCGAACTGACGCCGTATCAAATTCGTGCACGGCCGAGAGCTAGAAATATTCGAACGATAGTCGGGTGCGAGGAGGACAGCTCCGCGCATATACGGGTCAGGGACTTGGAACTTAATTGTGCGGCGTTAAAATTCCGCGAATCCGTTCGCCCCAGAAGCATCAAGAGTTATTAAGAAATATCTTTCAGCTGAATCCTCTCGTCTCGCGTCAGGCCGGAACCTTTTGAACTTTTTGACGTTTACTCGAGTACATGCGCTCGACTGCTTTACAAAAGGATTGATGGACGCGAGGGTGGGAAGCACCACCGATCCTACACGTGTGTGTAGGACGTAGCGCGCTCGTGCAAAACATTGTATTGGTCGACCGTGTGACGACGCCGGGAGTCGTCGGTCCGACGGGAGAGAAAACGAATCGCGCTGCATAATAATTTGCCAATGAAAACGATAAAACCGAGCGGAGAGGGGTCGGAAAATGAAAATGGTACGAGGAGGAAGAAGCGAAGGGAAGACGGATAGGAAACGAGGGTAGTGTGTTAGAGGGTTGGGCGGTCGAGGCGCGGCGATTGCGAGTAGCGCAAGCGCTTGGAACTCGGAACATGTCGAAAAGCGTCGCGACGACAGTCGAACGAAGACCGCAGTAACGCGCAGATCGGGCGCAGTGAACAGCACCGAATTCGTGCGCACGAGGGTCCTTCAGCCTCTCCCTCAGCCTTTCTCGCGCGCACCTCTATTCTTCTCTCCCCGATCTACTCTCTCTCACTCTCTCTTTCCGTATCTCTTCTTCTGTCATTCTTTCTTACACGATACCCGGACACGCGCGTACGTACGCCCTCCGAGAAAGGAAGCGACCGGGAAACTTTGCGCCCACCCGAAGAAGGTACCTGGCCGACGGAACCGCCGACGCAAACGGTTTCGTCCCGTATACGCGGAAACTATGTAGAGCGAGAGGACGAGGGAGAAGTCAGGGACCAGCGACGTATCCGTAAAACGAAAACGGAAGACACGCTCGCGTGCGCGCGCATGGACGAGGCTCGTCGATGTGCGGGCGTTGCATGGCTCGTCGGTCACTGATGACACGCGATCCGTTCGACCCAGCCCGTATGAAAAGTACAAAGGAAAGAGCGTGGAACGTCGTTCCGAGCGTATGACCTTGCGTTCGCGTTTCGTGGTGGATCTCGGGTCTGCTCCGAGGGAGAACGAGAGCGGCGTTCCTCTTTTAGAAAGCTGCCCCTGCGTGTGATCCGCGCGGTGGAGGCGCGATAAACCGAGTGTGCCCGGGGTTATAGGTGTTCTCCGTGTCGGAGGGACGCAGAGGACGGCGAGAAGTAGAAAGGAGGAGGAGGAGGAGGAGGGTCGGTCGTGGGTCCGAGGTAGAGTAGGGGTCGACGGAGGGAGAAGCGATTTTCCGACGGTCGTCGGCATAGTAGTGCATGCGCGGCGCGTCGCGACGCGGCGCCTCGCGGAGAAAGAGTAAGAAGTAGCGAATTCGTCCTCTCCTCGGTTTCTTCCCGTGCGTTTCATCCTCGTAGACGGTCGGCCGTCGAGCAGCAGTGACACGCGCGTGTCCTCGCCTTCCTCGTTCGCCGCTCGAACCAACGACGCCTCCACGTTTTCTTTCTCTCCCTCGTTTCTCCCGTTCGATTCCCCTTTTTCCGTTCCCTCGCACGACACACGTACGCGTACGAAGGAGCGCGCGCGCTACCGCCGCGCTACTCCCACCCACCGTCGTCGTCCCCCGTGTTCTTCCCGTGTATCGGAGTGTGTCGGAGATTTTGACCGGTGTGTCCGCTGGATTACTACTCGTCTCCTCGAGCTCGTCCGCGCATACAGCGAAAACCGCTGGTCCGCTCTCCGGGGGCCGCGCGTGTATTTTCGTGCGTCGCGCGGGGTCTCGCGTTCGTCGGTGGACTGCGCGCGCGGAACGCGAAAGAGAGGCTCGCTCCGTCCGTTCTCTCGGTCTCCCTCGGAATCTCCGTTGAGCGAGGTGACGAGGACGTGTGTCGTCCTCCTCCTGGTCCTCGGCCGTCGCGTTCTCGTTCGTTCTCTCGCCAAGGGATCCACGTACACGCTCGCGGAGTGGGAGAGAGACTCGGAGTATCGTCTTTTTTTGTTTTCGTTCCTGGTTCCTTTTGGCAGTCTCTCGTCGTCCTCGGGCGTGCAGCGGCAGCGGCGACAAGCGGCGGCAGCCGGCAACAGACGTCGGCGGCGGTGGCGGCGGGCGTCCGTGACACGATCCAGGGGAATCGAGCGGATCCGTTTTGTTCGTGGTTGCAAGTACATACGAGTGCTCCGAAACGCGCGAATAAATGTGTCGGTCACGGTACAAGACGTGAAGCGGGGGCATACACGGCAAGTCAGTATATTTTTAGTAGCAAGCGCCCAAGAGCTAAGGCACAGAGTGGTATAAACGGCGCGCAGTGGCCTGATGAAGCGGCGTATGTGACATCAAATTTCTCTCTCTTGCCACCTCGACGAGACACCGAGACATCTTGCAGACCATCAGCGGCGCGGTGAGTTCAGCCCCGTACCCTCGACCGATTGATTCGCCATTCCGCGAAACACCCCCCCGCGCCAACCTTCGCACCCACCCGACTACCAGTGGAACCGCGCGAGTATCTCTCTCACCCCCCACGTTCACGTCGCATCCGACCCGTCGTCGTCCATCGCACATACGTACACGTGTGTCCACGTCTCTCTCGTCCGCTATATATCTTAGCTCTACTTACGATCGTATCAACCGCCGCCGCCCCTCTTTCTTTTGCATCCTCTCTACCGCACGCCTACGACACATCCAACCTCCTCGATTTCGTCCCGACGCGCTCTACCAGCCGGCCCTAGCCTCCGACGGACTTCCTGCCCGCGAGACCGCGACGCCTCGCGACGTTACGCCAATTATGTAACCCGTTCTTTCCTCTTGGAATTCCTCTCGCCTTCCTCTCTCGTCCGCCTACCCCGCGACGCGTGTACCTCGTCGCACCTACCCTTTGTACGCCGACCGCTCCTCTCTTGCCCCTCCCATTTTGCACCGGTCGCGGTTCAACATTATTTCGGGAGTGCCAGCCAGCCTGCCAGAGCCCCGCGTGCAAAGGACAGGGACGGCCAGACTCGCCATCCTCGCGAACCGTCTCTCTCTCCTACACCTCGTGCTCGTGCGTCCCGGGATCGGGCAGGCGCATTATCGCGCGCAGCTCTCGCTCGCGCCGCGTTCCTCTCCCGCATTGTTACCCGCGTCTACGTTTTTTCCTCTTCTTCTTCGTCTTCGTCTTCGTCTTCTCGTCGTCGTCCTCTTTTTCGTAGCCGCGATAACAGCGTGCGTCAGATTCCACCCCTGCGCGGTCGTTCGCCGGAACACGCGTGCCACGACGCGCTTCCGGCACCGCCGACGCGTACCCCGCGGATCGTTTCGATCCTACCCCTCGTGTCGCGTCGTTCGACTCCGACGGCCCTCGTTCACAGATGTTACGTAAGCGTACAGGAAACGTCGGTCCGCGCTGGAAGGCTCGGATTACACGCGAGGCGAGGCGATTCCGGTCAGTTCTGGCTCGTCGTTTTTTCGTCGTTACGAAAACGTTTTCGATCTCGAGTCACGCGCACGTGAGAGAATTCCGCGTGCACGAAAGCACGCGGTTCCACGACTCCGGGGGCCGATAACGGTTTTATGAGAGCGAGCGCAACCCGTCCGGTCTGACTGGTGTCAGTAGGGAAGGGCCGCGATCGGTCAGACCGGCCAGTAGTCCAGATCCCCCTTTGATTCGGCCATTCTCCACAGGGGAATAATCATGCATAAAATTCCACTGGCTCCGTACGGCTCGGCCCTTGGCTGCTCCCACCATTTCCACGGGCGCACGCCTTTGCTCTCCCCGATTCGCTTTGTCCTGAAATACATCGAAGGCTCTCTGTCTCGCTCTCTCTCTCTCTCTCTCCTCTTCTCGCCTCTCCCTCCTTCCCTTGCCGATCTTTCTGGCTCTCTCACGCGCCAGCTTTCCGTCCTCGTCTTTGTCCTGCTTTCATAGTATCGACCCAATACGGCTGACCTAGACTCACTTGCAAGGAAGTGTACTCAACCTTTGACACTTACTCGCGGCGCTGACGAAACCGGCCGCGATCGATAGCCCGTCAAAACTAATTACGCACGTGGGGAAAACGGTCGTCGCCGTGCGCTGACTTCGTCGTAAAGACAGACAGACAGAGAGAGAGAGAGAGAGAGAGGTATCCTCGTTCCAGGACTCTTTTCACCGTGTTTGTCAGGCTCGGGTAGTTTACGATCTCGAGGAACACATCATTATCTAAGGAACCGGACGAGCATGTAGGTCGTCATCGTTCGCGCCGCGACGTGTTTGGTTAACGGCGTACGCGTGGGCGGATATTTATGGGATAAATAGGGAAGTAGTTTTATGGAATGGACCAGGACCGGGAGACGTCACGGTGCTTTTTCGACGAAACGGTTGAACAGTAATCATGACTATCTATCGGCCTGTGTTCGCCAGTTACGAATATATCTCAGTCGTGAAAAAGTCCCGCGACAGGAAATCCGCGGAGAATAGGACGAATTTATGCTTCCTAGAGGGCTCGGAGATCCTCGAATTCCCGGGGTCGGCCGGTGGTGAGTCATACGGTTTTTCGCCAACTTTATTATGCTCGGCATTGATTTTTCCCGAGACCGGAATGGAACACGCCATGTTATTCTTCCCTGGGTCAGCGTGGTCGATTCCTTTCGTGTGGCTCTGATTTCGTTGCAAGGGGAACGATCCCCTCGAGAGGAACTGCGCGTCGATTTCCTTGCGACTTCTCCTACCCGCGTACTCGATTCCTCAGGAATTCCGTAACACGTCTCGAAGGACTCGCGGTATATCGGAAATACTCCGCGAATCTCTAGAAAGTTTCTTACCTCCTGCAACGAGAAGAGGGACCTCGTCGTACGTACGTATTTGCAAACTTTCAAAAGTTTATATACAATTTTCGCGTCGTTCGGTTTAACATCGTCGTCTGAACGCGAACGTCTCGTGTCTCTCGTTGCATCTGGTCACGCGTGCGGATGACTCGTCGTCATACGTCGATCGTCTATTTGGGTTACGACGATCGATACCGGTGAAAAATTGCTCGAGACGCGACGGCGGCGAGCCACGTGTCACGCTTTATCGACTCGAATCAATTCGAATTTCGATTCGGAATCGGGGAGAAGCTGGGCACGCGCGATACTTGGTTCCATTTTTCTTCACGGCGATTGCCGCGTCTCGATCGACTCACCGTCGTCGCGTGCCGTGACTTCATCGATCCGTGATGCGTCACGCTGTTTTTAATCGTGCGGTCGCAAAAAGTTTTCGACCAGTGCGAACGCAAGAACGGGCGACGATCAAGAATCGTTCCATTACGCGGCGACGCGAATGCTGAAAGCGTCGTTATTTTATCACGTTCGACGAAAAGGTTCGCCGGGGCAGTAGAATAGGCTGGTCGGTGTTCTCAGACGCGTCTTCGTCTATCGCTGCTGGTACGCGTCGTCATGCTGGATTAAAAATAACTAAGACACGTGTGTGAAACTGGTCGAGCGTGCGCGGCGGCCAGAAATAAAGCAGCGGCCCGTCGATTAACTTTTCCGAGGCGAAACTTTAAACTGCCGGCCCGATACCTATGCATGCACCGTCGTTGCGCCCGCGATAATTTTCCTCTTGTATGCCTGCCGACGGATATACCGTCCGCTTCCTGTGTTAACAGCTATTTTAACCTTCCCTCTGGAAACGGTTTTTCAGAGACCGTGCGCCTGCTCTTTTCGGTCGAACGCGAACGCCGTGATCGCCCGACTCGTTTCCTCGGTTATTCATCGATCCGGCGTGCGAGTCTCGAGGTTCATAAATTTAAACGAATCAGACTCTGCGAGGACGCGAACAAAAACAAAAGTTCGTCGATACGTCGACGAGACGAATAAAGGGTCGTTCGTTCCTGCGTACAAACGAACTCGTTCGCGAGAGCAACGCGAAACGCCGTTTTATGAGGAACAGCGGCGGGCACGATTCCGGGCCAAATGGGTCAAAGACGACGCCGCGGGATCGGAATCAAAACCGTCGTCGGGCGTCCGGGAAAATTAGCCGCGTTGGAATTGTTCTAAAATCGCAACAAACCCAGTGGGCAACCGATAACGAGGAACAGATACGGTGTTTGAAATTGGTAAGGAGAAACAGCAGACTCCGAGTCGTTCGGAATAGCAAACAGTATGATTCAGTGGCGACGAGAAGCGGTTCGTGATCGGGAATCATTAGGGAAAAGGTCGTCCGCGGCGGACGTGATAAAAATTTTCTTCTTTCAGCAATACGTTTTGATAACGTGACTCGGTAATGTCTAGAAATAATTGAACAGAACCTAATACGATGCTCGAGACCATCGGGGAATCGCGTTTCTGGATAATTCACCGAGATAGAGCGTGTATCGGAAGCACGGCACACGTTTAACGCTAACGTAATACGATAATACGCTATAATGCGACCCCTTCGCTCGCCCGTTTTTAAGCCGTTACTCTTTATCTCTGGCGATCGATAACGAGTAGACCGCGGATTTAATTCGTTTGCGGTAGAACCGCATAGATCGCGTAGAGAAACATTTTCCACGCCACGCGTGGGCATTAGAAAAATTCCCGGTCTAATAATACTTGCCGTATGCAAACGACGCGGAGTCAATCGATCCTCGATTTAAGCCGTTTTTTAATCAACGCTCTCGGTCCCGCTCGAACGGTTCTCGCGGTTAATTTTAGACGAAGCATCCTTGATACGTAATTGCATCATATTTTCGTTGTCTCGGCGCGGGAACGCGCTCTCTGTCGATAGCCGAAGCGTAAGATTAATGAAAAACCGTTGTCTAAGAATTCGTCGGATCGCTATTAATGGAAAAAATATCGGTCGATCGGTGCCAAAAGGATTGATACGCGTCGACGTCGACGTCGACGTCTAGTCTGTCGGTACTTTGGCACTCTTCACCGGGGCGGACACTTAACGCGACCGTCTGCCAAGTTTCTTGATTGCCGTAAATCATCGGAATCCTCTGTTCAATGTTTAGACGTCTGTTCTGGAAAATATCGTCGATATACCCAGCCATTACCTGTTCCCCGTTCGCATAGGTGGGTATCATCGATCCGTCCGGTGATATAAGAGACGCCACGAGCTCGTAACGGATTTCACGAAAAAACCGACTAACGACGAAAACGGTATTCGATGCACTGGACGCGCGGCGGCTCGCCTGCTCAATGAAAAGTTAATCGACTTCGCCACGCGAGTCCGTTCTTTTCGACGAGCCGCGCCTCCCCGTAGCTCGACTCGTACTACTGAGAGTCGCGCGGCCCTTCGCCCGTGTCCATCCCAGTTAATTTCTCTGCTCTCTCGAATCGGGTCGAGTCAAGAAACGAACAACGTTCGTTGGGAACGCTGACTCGATTGTTCGAATGGATACAGCGCGACCCAGTTTCGCGGGGTACATCGCATATAGTCGACCTTCGTCTCCCCATTTGCTTATTGGTGAGAGTATTTTAAAACGCGATATCAATGAATGATCGATAGGAACGGCGAAACGTTGTACGGCTCGGTTACCGCATACTATTTCTAATATGCTCGGGAGAAGCCGTGTAATTACCTGACTCGGATGGTTCCAAGGTTTCCCCGGTTCGAAATCGTCGAACGGTCCCGCGGATCGTTCGACTCTGCTCCCAAAAATGCGAGAAATATTCCGACGTGCAAAAAGTTAATTTTCATGCATCGGTGCTCGGTGGACGATCGGCCGGAACGCGAAACGAACGCCAGTTTAAGGAGAGCGACGTCGGGACAGGGTGGGGCAATTTGAAGAGCGTTCGATAAAACGTTTAAAACGATTGTTCGGCCGGAGTCTCGGCGCTGTCGGTAAACAGGGTGAACATTTGGTCGTCCCCTCTCGATGCACGTAACAAAGGAGCGCGAGAAACACGGGTATCGGCCGCACAGGCCGGGGGTTTGGGTTTACGTTACTCGATCGAGGAAGGAGGGGCGCGAGTCGAGCTCTAAAGTGC